TATGAGCGAATAAAAATTAAAACTCAATTGTTCAGTGCCATTCTTTTGTTTCTTTACAACATATGATATGGCGGTACGTGGAAATATAACAAATAGAGCTAAAATACCCTATATACAGCAAACTACTCTTTGAGAGAGAAGGTTAAAAGGAATTAAATAGTTTGTGCATGGAAGAAACTTTGATGGATGATAACTTCATGAATCATTTAAGTTTTCTTTTTGTTTGGCTTAACTTTCAAGAAATGCCATAATATCTATAATGCGCCACCAGTGCTAGCTAAAACACGGTTATTGTCTGTTGAAGGAAGAGAATGGTTTCGTAATCATTGGCGTAGAATCCCATTGAGAATGCGTGGAGAATGAAACTGAGCATCCTGACAGAACTAAAAACAATATCTGTCTCTGAACCTCTACCAGATACACAGGTTGAGACTGGACATCCTGGTAGACGATCAACACATCTGTCGAAAGGTCCGTGGTGGGCTTTCGTCAGTCGGTGCATTGTTACATGCACTACACAAAGAGCAGAGATAAATAAACCTATCACCTGGTCAGTCAATGCAACAGGAGTCAGTTTGTCTTGGCCTCTCCTTGCCCCTGATAACACCTCTATCTGCCAAAAATGTGCCGCTAGTCTAGCAAAAGCTGGAAATATTCTGCAAGCAGTTTCATGAAATGGTCAGTCAGAAATCAATCAGACCAAACCTAAATGAAACAGTCATTGTCGCCCCCGATGGACGCCCCTGATATGATATGATACACTTTTTTTTGGAAAAAAAACGAAAAAACAAAAACAAAGATTTAGAAGCTTGAATGACCGGCGAGAGTTTCTTTTTATTTCCATTTAAAAGCATTTCAGACCAATTTTTCATAAAAATTTGATCTCCATTTTGTGACCGTAAATGTTGAAAGATCATGATATTAGCATTTTCGCAATTCGAGCAGGTGATTCTTCTTTAACATTAAGTTTTCCAAATATCATTGTATGAACCTCGTAGTGTTGTTTATTGTAAAAATGTGCTGTAATTTATTTTATTGTAAGTAATGTTTTGTTATTTAGTTAAACCATATATTTTAAACTTCTCTTTACAAAAATTAATGTTGCAAGAAAACACTGAATATAATAATAATTAAACCTTGTGTGTAGGTGAATACGACACGTTTATTTAAAGTACTGATTACATCTTCTAATTATTCATAAGCTTGTAATTATAACTTCATTCTTTTTGAATCGTGTACTTTGCATATCATTTAAAAAATGAAAAATAAAAAATTGGAATCGAACTTTTCGGCTTCCTTCAAACTTCCCGGATTGGTCTTGTTAAAGGTTGTAAGCAGCTTCGCAGCTCATTCAATGGAATGTGATGCTCGGAAGTAATGCGTACGAAATAAAAAAAGCAATTAATGCCATCATGAATTACCCTGCAGACTGGGATGCGTGAGGCAATGCGTGACTCATATCAATTAATACATGGTGTTTCTGATGCAATTTTGCGGACGTAGGATAGAGGAGCCTGTGAGAATCTTGAATGACTAAAAATATTGCTCTTGTCTTTCCTGCTGTACTCTATTCGGTGAAAAGAGAAGTTACCCACCCCTTCCTCCCTTCCCTGCTCCAGCTTGTGCGCTTGTGATTGTTACCCGGAATCTTTTTACTTAAGAAGGCATGTAAGCAACCATGTTCAACTCAATAAAATTTATTTTCACCCATAGTTTCAATATCCACATAATGTTTATATGGCAGTGAAGGAAATTAATTTCACCAACATCTCTTTCATTTGGATTGGTAATCCAAAAGCAAGTCAATAATCTTTTTGGGGGGCGGGGGGGGAATCGCTAGAGGTATTTAAGAACCAGTTTAACTTTTTAACTTACAAAAATCAGTGAGGAATGCAGTTTCAGCTGTAAATAGTATTTTATGGATCAAAACACGAGTCAGAACGTAATGACACAAAGGAGCAGCATGCATGTGGTCAATTATTGATAAACAAGAAACAAATATGTTTTCATCCATTACTTATCATTATATCATTATAAAGGTATGCTTTTTTTTTATTAACTTTCTTTTAACAAAGGATATCAAAATGAAACTAAAAAAACATGGTGATCCTAAAACATGAAAAACATCGATATCTTAAGTGAAGGACAGTTGAATGTCGCAGTGCTACAAAATCTTGATCATGATAATTTCGCACAGAGTAATATTTTATTAATTAATGCCTCGACGATACTAACTATTGTTTTTTACGATTTACTTTTTAATAACCATTCAAACATGGTGCCAATCTTTATTATTTTCTCAATGAAATCATTTTTCTTCCATGAACATTTCTATTTCTTTGTTTCTGACCTGTCATTTTTTTCTCCTTTTTTTCTTAAAGATGGCCGTTTAATAACCAACCAAAAATTGTGAATGTTCTTTTATTTCGTTTAAATAATTCATGGTAAATCCAGCTTATAAAATACCACAAACAAGGAGCCCAGAGTATTTTACGTCGGCAACCAAGACAAGCTATAGTTGACTAGAAAGAGACCAGTGCAAGAATGGCAGCCAAATTGTTTCCATGTCTGATCGGTCTGCTATCCCTTCTGGTGTTATTTCCAACCGAGTCTGATGCCTTTGCAAACGGAGGAAATAGTGGTATACCTGGTAAAAGAGCCTTCGAGGAGTTGAGTGACTTTCAGGTAAGTACCTCCAACGCTATGAGTTCTGTTTTCCTTTTTTACCTCTTACATAATGAATGAGATTTGGCATAGCTGACCGCACGATAAAATTTTTCTTACCAAAAGATTAGGTCTAAAAATCACGAAAGGCCGAGAAAACTATTGGAGAAATGAAGTAAAAGTCTTTCGAAACTCAGAAATTAAACCAATTTTATTTTTATTTGGTTCCACCGTACATGACAATTTTGACGTCACAACTACTCCCATTTGATTTGAGTGCTTGCTTGTGGCAAGTTCGTAACATAAAGATTCCAAAACAGATTATATGTTAGAAAAAATCTCCCCTGTGAGGTATCTGAAACTTTGATGTACGGAAATGGAAAAGTTATAATAGTTATAATTTTAGAATTCCTGAATAACCTGTTTTTCGCATTTATTTTCGCGTTTTCTTTCCATAGGACGCTGATGAAAATATCATCATGAAACGTCGGTTGTGTGACGTGGCTAAGCGCGTGGGATGTTATTTATCGTCTTAAATTTGATAGAAAAACCTCAGGAAGACCCGATTTACAGAGTTTAGTTTTATTTAGAAAGATCACCATTACAAAGCAAGGCTTGTTTCCTTGAACCAGCTCATAAATAAAGCGCGAAAGAAAAGTTTACATTCAGGCCCTTTTTTTTTTGTCTGATGAAATATTTTGTAGGACTTATTTGATCTTGGAAGGTACATTAAAAGATCAGGACACCTAATTTACTCTAATCACAGGCAGCCCAAGCTTTAGTTGTGAGATGATCATCTTGCGTAGTAAGAGTCATGGCGAAAACATAAGAGTTGGTTTGGGAATAGGAATGAAAAAATACAGTCATATTCTAAATAAAAATACGTCACCTATTTCCATAGTGCATTTCTTGTTGTCTGACCGCTTACAATGTTGAAAAGAAGCCATTTTAGCGAATTACTCATTTCTAGGCTGTCCGTACTCCCAAGAGAAAGGGATAACTCGCTAAAATGGCCTCGTTGCACCAAAGTAAGCGGTCAGATAAAAAGCAATGCACTGTGGAAGTAAGGTGAAGTATTTTTTTTATGGTAGAATTTTACTGTTTTTTTATTCCTAAGAGCTGTTGTAAGTATTTCCATTCCAACTCTTATATTATATATGCACCACTCAGCTCCTTTTATCGCCCCTATCTCAGGAGTAACTTACAAGGAATTTCTCCCAACTATGGCAACAATTATCAAATGACAAATTTTCTTTAATTTTGCACCAAATTATTGACATGCAGCTATAATAAATTTACGGTAGACCGTGAGGAGAACTGTTAATCAAATCAAGGAGGGGAAAGGGTCATGAGTTATTACCTCTTTCAAAAATATCACTCCAAAACATCAACGAAAACGCTTAAAAAATATTTTTTTAGTTATCACAGTCGTTTTAGTCATCAACTTTACCGTAATGTTTTACTGATGTTTTCCTTAAGCCCACTTCAAATTGTATCTTAGCTCACCATTGACACCAACTCACAGTTGTCTCCAAAGTTTCTTGAAATGAGCAATCTTTTTTAATAACTCTTTCTCGGTATAGCTTTACAAAGAAATTTAAAACAATCCGGAAGCTTAATAAAATTATTTTGGTAGTGTTACCTTATAATTGCGTGGCCTAATAAAATGTTCCAGAAAGCTCGATGGTATGAAGTCAGCACGACAAAACATTTCAGAAACTTCTTTTACAAATACTATCTATAACAACAAGAAATATATTAATACATTGCAACCGCATTGTGGTGTTATGAGACTTTTTTTCAGAAATGAGCTAAGAATAATAAATATCGCCTTTTTTTCCCCAAGAACAGGCAGGCTTTAACTTAACCTTAAGCGAGTTTTAGAAACTCATATTCTATACTTCACAAGCTCTTGGCGATTTTTCATTGCTGATACATACTACGCATTTATTTGGCTGTTTAATACGACGTAGCCCCTGATAAGTAAATACTAAGACCGATGGATGTCCCTTTTCGGATATTTGTGCAATGAATTACAAGAAGAACTCTTCTGTGGAGCTTTAACTCAAACCTAGAGGCTACGGCCATTTTCTTGTATCTATCCAGTATCTCATCTCTTCCAGTGGGTAGGTGGAAGAGGTTGCCTGGTTTCTAACCAAGATTATTCTATAGCAGCTTTAGAAAATTTGTTCTAATCCAGAATTCCACAACCAACTTAGAAGAAGTCACTATTAATGTATCATGGCTGCATACAACTGCATAGTAAACAGCAATGATTCAAACTTCAAAATATCCTTCTTTTTATTTTTCATCTTTTACCCAGCGGATCGATTTCCTCATCGTCTGTTGCCTCCTTCCTCTTCTAGAAGCAAATTATCCAGTAGATCATCAATATCATCTGTGTTCCTCTCTTCAGGCCTTCGTTGCGGCTGCACTTGGCCCGGTCTTGGTTGGAGCCAGAAGCCTCGGTGAAGAAGAATTTGGATGTTATGCCTTCTGTCATTTATTCCCTGTATTTCGTTTTGCATTTTAAGATCTCTGGATATTTGTTCTGCTTGATTGAGAACGTTCTCAGCTATCGATTAAGGAAGAGTAAGATTAGAATTATCATGTTCACTCTTTTGATGACATTCAACGCCTTTAACCTTGCTATAGGAAATAAAGTCCATGGAAATATAGTAATTCATGATATCACACATATATTATGTATATAATGTAACACCCAACCTTCCGTTATAATGCACCTTTTCAAGTTTTATTCAGGTTATGGATGAGAATAGCTTCATATATAAAGTGCATTTTTAGCAATTTGCAACATGAAGGAAAGGAGAGAAATACGTCTAAAGAAACGTAGAAAGAAAAAAACTACTTCAAAGGGATTCCTAATGATTTCTACCAAGAGGTCATATAATACGTGTATGTGGCGCGGCATAGTCATGCAAAACTTTGCTGTGTATACAGTACGATATCCCACTTGCCTCCCATAAGATATTTCACAGTGGACCACTCAAAAGCTTATAAATGGCCGTGCGTGGGAAACGAGTATGTCGAGTATGCCGAGCATTTGTACTGTCTCCAATGAAATCGATGTATCAATGACACTTCGTATCTCAGTGCAGCCATTTGATATTTCCTGCACATGATGTGATTTGATTTCATGTGAAGCAACGCTATGCATGGGCATGTCATGATTCATCTATCTATTTGTTGGACCTGTCGTACAACGTAAGGCAAACAGTTTACCTTCTCTTAAGTATGCAACTCTTTCTTGTTCTGTAAATTCTGTATCCCGTTGCAGCGCCTTGCGAATGGAGGAATCTGCCTTTGCAATAAGGAAATTTGCCTCGAATCTTTTTTTACACTGAGGAAGCAACCTGTTTTCAACTTCCTTGATTATACGGTCTGCTTTAGCAATATTTACAGCGGAAACATCCTTTCTGTAAACGAATGGTAAAAATGGAAAAAAACCCTTGTTAACGATCCAACAAGTGCGTATTTTTAGGAATCTAGCTATATATAGATCCTGGAACTGGGCAATCTAGGCCTGCACATGAACCTGGAATACGACTCGAACGTGTCTTTAATTGGCTGCGAAACGAGATCGATAAGTTGGGTGAAGTGCAAATAGGAGATTATAAAAGAAATTGAATCGAAGATTTTCGTTGGGTCATGTCGTCCCAGTATTTAAAAGCTATTTTTTAACTTGTGAAACGAGTTTTTTTTTCCCGGGATATGCAAATGAGTCACACACGGTAATTAGCACCTGTGAGGCGAAACGTGACATAAAAATAGAAAATATGAGAATTTGGCTTGTGCAGGTGAAGAAGGATTTGGATCACAGCGTCTAAATTTGAGGTGATTTTGAAAACAGAAATTCGATAAACGCAGGATACTTTTCGTAACATTTAAATATTCTGAAGAGTGAAATGGATAATTTTGTTTTTCTGGAATATTGTCTATGGAGGTAGGAGCAACCTTGCATTGCTGCAAGACCAGTAATTACAAGTTCACAACCATGTTTCATCTATAGTTTAAGTATTTTGTGCACGAGTTGGCCATGAGTATTCTTTGATTTGTTTATCGCAACTCGTTACCTTGGATCTGGGAACTTTTGGCGGGAGGAACTTAAATAGTGGTAGATCATCCTGATGCTCATCCTATTGATGCAGCGCATGCTATCGTTCTGCTCCTGTTGTGCCCAGATTATCTTAACATCCTCGAAAATTTCTTCGATTTCTCGATCTTCTTCTGATGTTATTCCAATGGCAGCTGATTTGGCTTGTATCAACGCTGCTTTGTTGTACTTGTTGACAGCGGTCTCTTCACTCACGCAAGCAACTTCAAGGCACTGGCCATGAAATGATTCAAACGAATAGATGAAACATATCTTCATTAGAATAAGTATAGTTAGATAGACTTAACTCATTACTCATTACTCTCATTACTCTCATTACTCTCATTATTCTCATTATTCTCATTATTCTCATTACTCTCATTACTCTCATTACTCTCATTACTCTCGTTACTCTCATTACTCATTTCTCTCGTTAGAAATATTATTTCATACTGATTTGCGCCCTTTCTGTTCGTATGTAGTCCGTTTTGAGCTCCATTTTGGAGTTATTTTCATCGCAATCCTTGGAACCGCTCAAGCATCACAACCCTCGCAGAGTCAACGGAGCGGAGTTACATCTCTTCACGGATTCTTTTCTAACGAAGTGACTCACTCTTTCCCCTTTACGATGGTCGTAGGCTATCCAAAGAGAGGGAGAAGAGCTGGCGTGAAGACAAGAGCCGAAGAAGCTAGGAAATAGTTTACGTTCTTTTTTTCTGATTACTTACAGAAATTACCATCTGAAAAAAGGGAGGGAACCCGGCCAATTCTTAAGGATGAGAGTGCACACATTAACGCATGAGTAGAACATCGATATCATTTACAGCAAAACACAATCAGACTACATTACGCATGAAGAGATTATTATTAGTAGACAGCTACTTGCAGGTCACGTGATGGATTCCTGGCCAGTTATGGTAAGGAAATGTTGTTTGATCCCCAAATCATACATACAGACATATATATATATATATATATAATTGTTATTAGAACTCTCAGGCCAACAAAGGTGCACCGCACCAGGAGGATAAATAAAGATTCGCAGTCCAAACCTCACAGCAAATACGAACGTAGAGAGTAAAAAAATGCGAGGATGGACAACATCTGACGTAAAATTTAATACAAACATTTCGGTCAGAGACCTTCTTCAGTTATTTACCTAAATATGTAACTGACTGGTAAATAACTGAAGAAGGTCTCTGACCGAAACGATTTTATTTAATTTTTTATCTTTTTTACGTCAGAAGTTGTCCATCCTCGCATTTTTTTACTCTCTACATATATGAATGTGGGGGCAGAGTCTACCTTGGCATAAAGTGCTTAATGCTGTGGTAGCATAGCTAAGTATACATAAGTTAAAGAATTGAAGAGGACGCATCGATTCTCTGTAACTCTGAGTTTCGCGCTCTGTCTGACGAGCACTTAGTTGCGAGTCACAGATAATCGATGCGTCGTCTTTAATTCTTGAACTTATGTATATATATATATATAATTTTTAATTTTTTCGTGTACCTCCAGCTTTAAATTTGGGGAAAGATAAGGTGTAACATTTTCATCAACACAGGTTTGGGTTTCCTTGATTTTAAAAATAAGTAAATACAGGAGGCTATTATTATGCGCTCTTGTTAACCAACGCAGCGGTTAAACATTGGGTATGCACAAGGGAATCAATTCGGGTCTCACACACTCCAATTTCCCACGCAGAATTTCAAACGAAAATATATAGAATATACAATCGCAAAATAAGCAAAAAATAATTGAAATGTTCAAAGATATCTCTAAAAGGAAACAAAAGTAGGCAAAAGGGAAACTCGAGACTTTTTGACACGAGGCAAGGCTTATTCAAGTACAGGTGTCCTGTTGACCATTCCGTTTTGAGCTTTACCAAAAAGTGTCATACTGAAAGCACGCCACCTTGTCATTACAACGTTTGCACACGCGCAGGCGTGTGTTCACTTGAGTGACCTCTCCCTAGTCAAGTTTTTACAGCTTGGTTAAGTCCGCTGATCAATCGCTGCTCTCATACATGTCCCATCATTCAATTGTGTATGAACGTGAGTCAAGTGAAAGAGAGTGCTATCTTACCTCCGTGGAATTTTCCATGTACTCCGCGGAAAGGTCAAAATTTTCTGCCTGTCTATGTATGGCAGAGATGATGTAATATGCTTTCGTCATTAGAAAAGGCCAATTTCCTGAGTTAGAACGATTGGCACGTGCAGCAACATCTCGGCAAATGGCTAAACAGTCATCCATTTTGTTCTGAGCGAACTGCATTATGGCTTCCTTCACCAAAAAATAAGGGTGGTAAAAATAAGATTAATTTAATCATCTTCATAGCAATACCCCGTAGCAAGAAATGATAGTTCAAGTAACGGTGACAACGGAAAAAAATAAATAACGCAACTGTAAAAAACAGCATAGTTAAGAGAACCGACTGAGGTAAGCCAGGAGCCCATCACTTGGAGCCTTTAACTGCTCTGTATTTTTGTCACAGACACATTTATTTTTTGTTTGAATTTACCGCGACCTTGGTATCGGAAATGGCCTCCTGGCTGAAACCTGAAAACCAGTCAGCCGAGTTCCTCGTTTCTGAATCCTTGGGAAAAATATCTTTAGTAAAGACATTGACTTAATTAAATATTCCTCCATTTTGGAGTTTTGCCAGTTTTGTAAGGAAGTGTTGCTATGGTAATTTGCAATCAATTCTGTGATAGGTGGATTTAGTATGATTGACTGCTTCAACTGTCCGATTACAGGTGTCCGATTACAGCCAACTCCTCGACTACTCTGTCCGATTGCAACTGCACAGAATAAGTACTCAAAAATAAAGCAGCTAATGCGCCAATTGCATTTGCAGAAATTTTGATGGTTTTGCTGAAGAGCTGAATAAGGCAATTGCCTTAATCACGATCCCTAGGAGGCATAGCCGAAGATATCATTCTCGCTTTTTAATGCACGCCAGGACATTGTAATGCCTCTAGAAGCCTTACCTCCAAACGAACAGCTAAGTAGAGGTCTTGATACCTCACAATTCCATCGACACGGTCAGTAAGCTTCTGTTTATCTATCAGAAACTGATTGTATTGACCTGAAATTATAATCGACCAAAGGGAATTAAATTTAACGACAATTTGATATATGAGTAGTTAAATCTGTCTTCGCTGTTCCTTAAGAAAATGTATTCTTCCTTCCATGTTTTCATTGCACTGGTATTTAGTAGCTGTAAAAGAAAAGTACAAACCATTATCACCAAGTTTCTGAAAGTGCATCACTATGGTTTTTCCACTCTGCTTTGACAAAACACCTATAATCAAAAGTGAACGAAAAGTTGACGAAATTGCACATTTTGGAAATGTGTTTATTTGGCGCGAGGTAGTGTTAATTAAAATTTAAAAAAAAATTGAAAGCGCCTTATTACTTCAAAAATGTGTCAAACGAAAATATTCCTAAGACTTAAACTTCACGACTTAATTTTCAGCGAGATTGAGAGTCAACACTTTTTGGTATTTTTTAGACTTCATTCCAAACGACAGACGAAAGAAAAGCGCGTAAAGACTCAAGACACGTGATTTGATACGGAACACGGTGAATCACGTACAAAATTTTACTTTTAACAAGATATGTGACCGGGAGAGTTTTAGGAAACGGTGTTCACACGAATACCCGAATATTTCGCCTATTTCTTATCTCAGTTTCAATAAGACCATAGTGAGCGCCTGTTGAAGACTCCATTTAAGCATTGCTGTCGCTACACTGATGATTGAAAGAAAAATTTCCAGTTGAGATTCCAAAGTTGTCAACTACATCCGGCCAAGTCCTAACGGGGTCGGATATAGAACTCTTCAAAATAACGGTGTACTTGAGCTAGAATTACGTTTAAACAACTGAACTGTCTTAGTCAAATAAAAAGAAGAAACAAACAAACAAACAAAAAAAACATGAAGTTTACAAATTTAATTGTGTTAACTGAAATTTTACGTAATTCAGAGCTAAAGCCGAAGTAACTATAAACGTTTGTATTATATACCTGACATTTTAATTCTTGGTAAAGGCTTCTCTACTTCCGTTACAGTTCTTCCACTTTGATAATCCCGTAGATTCGTGTTTCTTTCATGTGACTTGACAGTCAATTGCTTCATGTCCAACTCTATATCTGAATGAATATATATATATATATATATATATATATATATATATATATATATATATATATATATATATATATATATATATATATAACACAGTGAACGAAAAATCCCTCACGAATAGTGCAAAGTTAATCACCATAACAAGTTCTGAAAATGGTTATTATGATCATAGGTAATCTTGAGTTCTGAGAGTTGAGACTGGTTCTTACCAAGAGAAAATAGACTTTTTATATTCCCTTGTTCTTTTTGGTCAGGATTTTGTCATACGGACCATTTCCACGGAAAGGGTCATAAACCCCGATTTTTCTTCTCGAAAGCCGGCAAATTAAAAAAAAAACAAAACAAAAAAACAAGTTTAGTCTACTTGCCATATAATAAACTACTGCCACAATCATGGGCCAATATTCCTCGGTGCGGCCCTTGAATTGCGCTCGCTTAGTATAAAGTTATTAATTAAATTACCATTAATTTAAGTGTCGTCATTATCAGTTAAAAATGTCAAGGTCCTAATTATTAATGGCGTATTGTGTTAAATTCACCTTCATACTCTGTTGCCTTCTGGTAAAGTGTGATCCTAATCGTGTAAGTGATGGGTGTTTCATTTTTGACCGGTAACACAAACACTAAGTTGCCGGCGTATGAGGGAAGCTGTTTATTTCTGCAATCAGTGTTGGTTGCGAGCATCCAAGCGTAGGGCACCACTTCCGGCACAATTTTGAAGCCTCTATCTCGCTGAATATGGATCACACACACACGAAAACACGGTAGTTAACATAAACGAAAGAAAACAAAAAATTCCTTCAAAATTAAGAGAAGCAGAAACAACACAAGTATCATTGAAATTTTAATCCCTTTGAACTTTTATCAAAACAAGCCAACAAAAGACCTCATCAACTTTTTAATTCAGCTCCAGTTTGAATTTACTTTTCTTAAATTAAACAGTAAAAAAAATGAATAAATTTTATGATATGTTTTCTCCTTTAAATTCATGTAGGGTCTTTAAAGATGCTCTGTTTTCTTGTGTTGTTTTCTTTTGCCTTGGTTCGCTAGCCTTTTACCAAAAAAAGGTCAATAACTTCATTATATACTTTTTTCTTAGCTACTTACAGTGAGATACAGATCCTTAAAATCTGGCGAAGCATGGCAGTCCCAGATTTCCTCAGTATCTGTGTCTTTCACTGCAACAACAAACTGCACCACCAGAGCAAGAAAGGGGACCTGGATTACACAGGGATGCAGTTGGATTCTCCTTGACTGACCAAAATATATTTCGTCCGATAGCTGTCGGCATTTCTGAATAATTACTAATCGAGCTCTATTTGGCCGGAAAGTACTTGTGGTTGGCTGTGTTACTTTATGGAACAGACAGTAAATGTACACAGTGTTAACTGATTGCAATTAACAGCAGTTGAGAAAAGATCAGTCTTTAATCGCTGGAAGTTGAGTATCATTCCATCAGTATAGTGGTATTTGGATATTTCGGAGAAAAAGTGGTATAGTAAGCCGGAGTCGTCAGTATAAAACATGCCGTCGGACCTCAGACATATATTTACGGACTTCAGACTGCGAAAAAATACGGACTACACGTTACAGACCTTCTGTAGACTTACATGGATTACGTCTCACGAAACAGAGTAAATAATGTTGACTACAAATAACTAGCTATTGTTGCTCTCGTTCACTTTTTTTTTACGACCCTTATTGCAAAGCCAGATTCCCTCAAAGGGCTTGAAAATATCACTCTCCAGAAGCGCAGGAATTTGTATTGAATGTACTGAATGTGATCATTCCTACGACGCCACCGAGCCATAGCGGCTATGTTCAGTTGAAAAAAAGTCTAAAAACAATCAATGTTCTTCACACGATCCGTAACATGCTGTTCTTCCTAAATCTCAATTCCAGATTTTACTGATACCCAGTCCTTTGTTCGTAGTCCTCAGCTCGTTAAATGTATCCTATCTCGCTTTTCTTAAATTTGCCGGATTCAAAAGACAATCAGTAATTTTCTTGCCCTCGAGAGGTGGATATGAGATAAAAAAAATCGGCCTCACGTTTCCTAGCTGACAAGAAGAACCGGTGACTTTTAAGCAAGAAAATCTCTCTTGAATTATTTGTAAACAACCAATATAAACAATTAGCACAGACTGAAATGATCCGCAAAAAACAATTCCGGTTTGCGATATCTCTGTTTAAGTCCGTCTGATATTGCGAAAATTATCAAAAATCGTACTGAGAAGTTCTACAAAAAGAGCTTAGCAAAGAACTCTTATAGCTGAACGGCGTACCCGTGTGACTACGAACGAATTGATGTTAATATCTGTCTTCCTAATATCATCAAAGAACGGACGATTGCTTATGCCGCCGGACCGATAGGTTTAAATAAGATTACTCAAAAGCCATGATTGCCTTCTTGATTCATAAATGATTCGGCTTACATCAGAATATGGAAATTTTCGGCCGTCATCTTTCATTTTCATGTCCACATTTGTTCCAAATAGCAATAATATTAGAATGGAACATTTTCATATATATTTTACCTTCGAAGCAGCTGTCAGATGTAGTTAAAAAAAAAAGAAAACTTACCATCGATCGATTCTCGAACACCAATATCACAACAGTTCGCGGCATTCATGACAATTTTTGAAGGCCTCTGGTCTTTTCAACTCGAAAATCTAATCTTTCAGGAAATGCTGTGACAAGCATATGTTCGTCGAAGTCAATACAAGGAAGGTGTCGACCGTGAAAAACTTCGCGATGCAAATCGAAAAAAGGGACTTCCCCCTAACCTACCTCAAACTCATTACGTATTAATTCATGTACTTTTTTAACGATACATGAGCTGTTTTTTACCTTTTACCGAAGCTCTGAACTCCTTTCATTTTCCTGAAACGCAAGTAAGATGATTAGTTGGTGAATATAGGAGCAATGGCGCTCAGAAAGTAAACATCGCGGCGTGATAAATAGCTTTTGTTGCAAATTGCCCACGTTGTAATCAAACTGTTATAGAAACACAGAAACTGAAAGTGCTGTCTACGGCAAAATCCCGATTTAAGGTATCCGTATATGAGTATGGAAAATTTTAAACTTGCTCATTCTCAGAATAGATATATGTTATTGGCTAGCCGGGAAGTCCGTAATGGGAAAAATTGAGCTCGGGGTCTGGTCTCAGTACTCAAGACAGAGGGCACAGTTTTTCCTACTACGGACCGACCTTGGCTGGTGAATGACATTTTTATTTTTTTCCCTACAACTTAGCGAATTTTTTTCCAAAAGAACCCAAATGATTTTGGGCTTTAATTTGCACAAGGTCTTCCATAAACTAAACAATTTTTTAATGAGTAAATGGTAGTTAAAATAGATGTAATGCTAATTAAAGAGAGAAGCATCACCGAAACATTTTCATTTGCGTAAATTTTAAGAGGCTTCCATTATTTTTACAAGTATCTGTCACCATCTGACAACCGTCAATTAGAGACCGCGTAAGAAAAAAAAAAACGCATGTATAGTTTAGAAAAAAAACAACGGAACTAGTTTAACAAGAACTGTCACGACGATGTTTTCTTTTAAAACAGTCAATGATCTTAGGGAATTAAGATAATCGTCCCACAGCTGGAGCTTGAGCCGCCTGTGGGTGAGCGAAGCTTTCAGTTCTGCTAAAAATATGCTTTCGGTGAGTCTTTCCAAGTCCATTCAATTTGGACAAATTGCTCAACAGAAACTGAAGGTATAGTATATTGCGTTACATAGCGTTACCGCTGTAAGGAAACTTCCTTTTACCTAATCGTGTTATAAATCTACTTTCCAAAGTAAAAGGAAAATAACTAATTATGAATATTGTATAGTTGATATTCTATCTTGATTACTGAATCAAGGACAGTCGAATCAGAGGAATAAGAGGAGTCACTTGACCGATAAATAATCTACAGAAGGAATTCAATAAGAAAAAGCCACATTAAATGCCTCATTCGAACTTAGTTTTTTTGGAGAAAAGACCAGGTATACACACGCCACTGCAGCAGACAAACGAGCAAGCTCTCACAACTTCAAAATGAAAAATTTGAATTTAGTTACAACTACTTTCCCTGCCATTTACTTACTGAATAGAGGTAAATTTTCGTACATTAATTAACCGTCGATGAGATTAAGTAATAGTAAGCGGTCGGATAACAATGCACTGTGAAAGTAAAAGTGAGGTCTTTTAATTAAGAATGTGATTGTATTTTTTTTATTCCCAAGAGCGGCGTAAATATTCCGATACAAACTCTTTTAATGAATGAGTTGCCAGTAATCGGATCCTTGCGTTTGCGCACAGATTTCTGGGATCGCCACGGGGCAAACATTGTAACTCGCTAGAAAGGAGAGTATTGCGAAAGGTTGTTTGGACGTCCAAAATAGAGATTTTGGCGAGAAATTATGGCTTTTTCGCCGCAGTTTTATTATAAATGGATAAAGATAATGTTGATACGAGGGAAATGTAAGTTTTTGTTGCAATTACCACGATATATATTATTAAAATCACCGTAAAACTTCTCTCCTTACGTAAGGTCTATTTTGAAACTTTCATGGCTTAATGGTCTCGAAATATTCCAAAATTAACCATAAATCGCTAGGAAATAACTAATTTAGGTCTTTTTAGTTTTATTTACATATGTAAAGCCTGTCTTCATACTTGTTCAGTTGACGTATTTAATAGACAAATTACGACGTTTGAAAATTAACCTCCTCAAAGGAGAGAAGTCGTTGTCAGCGGATATGGAAACAATTTTTTACCGAGCTGTTGCTCTCAGTAAGGATGAAATAAGCGATGATGAAAAACATGCGGAAATCCCTAAGTCAAGTGATAGTATGTTTGAGAAAAATCCAAAGGTGTCTGAGCTGCAACTTTTCTTCTCGAACTCCATGAAGGATCGCGTCAAGAAAAGCAAGATCACACCGGGGAACTCCGGCAGAAAATCATATCATCAGTTGTGCATCGCTCCTTAAGAGACCAATTTGTATCACTCATCGTCACAGTGAGAAAGATTTCAGTACTGAGCCGATTATCAACACTCGTGATTCGTTCTCATTGATTACATCAAAGAAGCAGCGTAGGTGTTTTGTCACTTTAACCCTTTAACTCCCATAAGTGACCAAGACATAATTTCTCCTTTTAATTTCAATACAATATCAACCAGATGAGTGATGAGAATAAAGAAAAATGTCAATTTGGGGATAATTAGTCGATCCAATACTAAATTCTCTGACCTAACATTATAGGAATTGTATGGTTGACAGTAAGGAGAAAGAGAAATTTGATCTGGGAGTTAAAAGGTTAATGTACCACAATAAGACTTATTGCTCAAGTACATCATTTCAATCTCCTGCTACCTTAAGGTAACTTTCGTAGCGCTCTTTTGCAGTACCAAGCCACGAAAAAAGCTAGAAGTACAAAACACGTACAAAAAACTGAAAAGACTTTGTTGAGTAATTCCTTAGAGATTTATAGTTAGTTTTCTAAATTTCGAGACCATTACGCGATATCAAATTCAAATTAAACCTTGCGTCGGCATGGAGTGCTAATTGGTAGATTTTACTACATATTTCATTGTTTTTCAAACAAAAACTTGCACTTCCCTTGTATAAGCATTACCCAAATCCATTTCCGATAAAAGAGCGGCGAAAAAGCGATAATCTCTTTCTAAAATCGTTTTTTTGGACGTCGGAACAACCTTTCGATATACATTTCCTTCTAGTGAGTTTTGCCTCGTGTTGATCCTAGAAATCTGTGCGCAAACACAAGGATCCGATCATTGGCAACTCATTCTCTTATCACCTCACAGCTGGAGCTTGGGCGGCCTGTGGCTTGCCCTTTCACTACAAACCAATTGTTTGAGAGAATTCAGATATTAGACGAATGAAAGTTCCATCGATTATCTCAATTGTAACCAAATACCTCACGTTTTAACCGTCTAGGTACTTTTTGTGAAGGAATATAATTAATTACAGACGGTTTTTAGGCCGCTTATCAACCAATATAATGACACTACTGCTTATAAAAAATTAATTCATTTCGAAATCAACATTTTTCTTTCAACCAAAGTGATTTGAGCGGGTGAAAAGGGAGAATTAATTAGTTATTTATCGGCTTGAGGTAGTGACCGACGTCTTTGCTTAATTAAAAATACTGCCAAGCCGGAAAAACGAGAGTTATATTTGAAAAATGGCAGCGAAGGTAGGGATGAACTCGGCGACTCATGAAAGCGTTACCGTGCCCGTGGGTAGAGATAGGAAAATAAGCACCGCGCTAAAAACAAATCAGATTAAAGGATTCGTTACCGTGCCCTCTAAGAAAAAAAAATGAAAGATAATACAACACACACATCTTTTCTAGCTTTCAGGTAATACCCGAGTTTGCTTTCTTTTATGGAGGATTTTGGATGGAAAATTGATTATTGGCGGTCCATTTATGATAAAGGGGTTTGTTCACGGATCGCAAAGTATGGGAGTAAAAAATGGAAAAGCCCAAAATTTACAACTTATGGCTGAAATAACTTCCTGAATTTTACTAGAGATGGGTGAATAGCTTGGAAGAGTACGGAATCTTGCAAATGAGTTTGAGGATATAGGGATCCACCAAAAGTCGAGCAATTTATACCAATCGAGCTTCAAAATAAATTTATACCACTCGAGCTTCAAAGAAATTCGCATCTGGATTTTGGCAAAGGAAACCTTGACTTGATAAAACGGCCGCTGCTCTCCCTCCCACGAGATTATTTTCCTTTGAGATGGGCTTTCTTCTGTAATCGCTGGTATATCAGGCCATGGCATCTTACGTAGATTCACTTGAAAGCTTCTAATATCCTGTACACATATTTAAAATTAGAATGGATTAGAGTGGATCGGACAAAAATTGCTTAACTCTTAATAGAGGAAGCCAAAAATTCCCACCGTAGGGTTTTCCTAGTATTTTCAAATAGTCCTTCAAAAATATAAAGCTATCGTGCAGCGTAACTAAAGTATTTGTATTTTATTGGAAAACAGCGACGCGTAAACCTTAATAAGTTTATGGTTAATATGAGCAACTAGTTCTGCATACAATATCAACTTCATCTGGCTTAACTGGGTAATCGTGCACCATCAGACATTAATAACATCAACGGACCCGAAGGGACAAAATGTTTACTCAACAAGCAATTAACCTTGTAACGTAAAAAACCACTACAAGAATCGAAAGCGTAATGGGGCGACGAGGCTTTGGTATTACAAAGCATTACCGACGCCAGCGATATCTAATGAATTAAGATACACGTCTCCATGAAATCAGATGCTCGGTGATGAATTTAAGAAATAATTATTTTAGAAACGAACCATAATTCATAAAATTTGAAAGCCCTCTTTCTTGTTGCTTTCGCTATAAAAGTGGGAGATAAAATTCCTGATGAAAACTTTATGTCTTTTATCGATGCTTGTAGACTGCCTTCGGATTAAAGAAGCTTATTTTTCTGCGCTATTCATATGGTATCAGACTGTTTTGCTATTTAATAATCATCATCGTAGAGATAAAGACGTCCCTGTGGATAGTTACTAAACATCATGCTTTTCAGACTAAAATAATATTGATAGAAAAAGCCAGCAAACATGGCCCAAAAAAAACAAACAAACAAAACAAAACAAAACAAAAAACAAACAAACAAACAAAAAAGCAAACCAAATACGGGAAAGAGAAATATGAACTTTGTTTGTAGAGAAATATTTGGAAGTACTCTCGGGGATAATGGTGAAGAAGAAACAGCAAACAAAATAAAAATATTAAGAAAAGAATGGATAACGGAGTTCCCTTCGCATTCGAAGGCTAAGGTGCATGGTTTGCGGGTCTTATGAAAGAAAAATGTTCAGCAATTAACAGCTGAAAATAATAATCAAATTGGACAAATATATCTGCTGTTGTTTAATGAACATGGCTTGGCAAACATCACGCTTAATCTATTTTTCCTTCCCCCGTTTTAGCCCATTATCGGTTTGACACCTGATCGCGAGCGTATAAACGGAGGCGTGAGATTGAGCCCTATTGTTTGACTACTTGAAACCGCTAAGCAGTTACACTTTAATGTATGAAATACGTATTCAATACATTCGTTCTACAATGAAAAATAAAATAACTGAAAAATAGAGAGAGGATAGACAGTTTGAGTGGAGAACTTATGATTTAATTCTAAGGCTTGAAGTAAAATAAGACATGTGAGACAAGGTGGAGGTGGTAAAAAATAGGAGGGTGAGAAATACGGTAAAGAGTGTCGCCTCAATTGTCAGACTGAATCGAAGCTGTCAAATGCTGATATTTACTAAAAATAAACGAGAAGACGAAAATTTAAGGGCTAAAAGCAAATCAATTATATTCCGTGAACCTCATGGAATATATGAGGCAAATTAACTTTGGGTTTTCGTGAGAGCACGATAGGATGGTCAATGAAAAAGAAGCAAAAAACCACAGATGTCGAACGGTAGTTAATTTCACCGAAACATGATCGTGTATAAAAGAGACGTTCATTTTATTTAAAAAGGTTTGAGGTTTCAATCAAGATAATTCTCTTGATTTCATTCCATAATGATATGCTTTTAAATATACCGTGCAAATAATTCATAGATCATCTTTCATCGCGGAAAATGCCTACACAAAAAATTTGACTAGGACAAGCGACCCATTGTGGCTCTGCCGCTAATATCTGCTGGACTTTATCGTTTGAATCTCACGAAATTTGCAAAAGGAAATCAGCTGACGGAGAGAACAGATGTATCGTGATCTGAGCATAATGTCCTTTAGCTTCTGCTGCTTAAGTGTGTCGCATTTAGTCCTTACGCGGTCCTTGATGTTTTCCATGAAATCGAAAGACTATCAGTTTTCACATAACGTTGCAAACCATCTCTGAACCCAACTTAAAGGTTCGAGGTGCATACCCAATGATTCTACTGCTGCTTCTCTGATTTAGGATCTAAATATATAGCGAGCTCATGTGTTTCTGCTGTACGAGATAATGTGTACGCTACTTGAATGGATCTGAAGAGAGCTGTCTCCATAGGAGCTCGTCATCGTTCGCATTCGATAGCGCTCTTGCATACTTGATAACCTTCGACTGAGACTGTCACAATGAAAACATTGCTTAAGGCCGTTGCGATAGTTCTTGCTAAAGATAAAACAAATGCAGGGATTAACTGCACTCCATGAATGCAGCAGAAAGACAGAAATAAATGGGATGATTGTTTGAAATGCACAAACGGGTGGCGATTCCCAATTCCATACAAAAATATGAAGAAATAAATAGATAAGCAATGGAGTCATGCAGGAAACAAAGGAAATCATGATGGCCATCGTCATTTGGACAATTTTCCTCAGCTGCTGATCTCGATGGTTTTGGCGACAAGACAATCGCTCTTTACTTTTCTTGTTCTTTTTCCTTATTGTCCATATGATAATGCTATACACAATAACCAGGATAATTACGGGAATGAGGATAAAAGTTATAAACGATGCCGTAACAAATCCCTTGTGTGTTTTCAGGTGGTCGAGTGCTGGTCCCCAATTTAAGATACAATACGTTTTATTTTCGTAGAGGATCAGTTTGAAACTGTAAAAATAAGGTGCGTGGAAGACGATGGCGACACACCACGTGATTAGTATGCTGATCAATCGTACTTTTGAGGAGATAAGTTTGGCCTTCAGTGGAAAGACGACAGCGAAGAGCCTGTCTATCGAGATCAAAAGAAGGCTTCCTATAGAAACCACAAGAGAAACATCTGGCAGAAAGTAGGCAAGTTTGCATAGAATGTTTCCTAGCAGCCACGGACGATCAACTTTCCAGGATTCCGAGCCTGAAATGATCTCAACGATCTTCGCAGTCATGACGGTCAAAGGGTTGAAGAGGTCAGATACAGCCATGTTGAAAACGAAGTAGTTGATGGATCTTCGTAGCTGCTTGTTCTTGTAAATGACCAAGAGAAGAAAGATATTTCCGAAAAACGAAACCATGAAAATAAAAATATAAGCCAGAGCTTTAACTGTAACTTCTACAGCGGAGTCGGCTGTTATTTCACAAGCTTGGTCGGAATTACTCGAAGCTGCATGGATGGTTATCTGTGTACTGTTTTCGGATAAGAATGTCATGGTTGTGTTCACCGTTATAATTTTCTCTGATGTTCGTCAAATTTACGAAAAGGCTGTACAAAGTTCTTAACACGATCACTTGTTTAATCGCAGCACTGAGTTCGTTGAAGTCGCCGTATGGTCTGATCAAAGTTCTTAGGATGGGTCCTATATACTTGAAGATTCGTCTTGTTTTAAAGTTCATTTGAATACATAAAATACAAATAAATGACAGATGAATACAATTAAATGGGGGCAAGGCTGACAACGAAAGCAATCATGATTAACGTTAAATAGAAATTACCCCGCAAAAGAGATGATGTATAAAGACTGTCGAATTTAGAGGCTAATGATGGATGGATTCCTCATGGTAGTGACTGTCCTTTGAAAGAAAATAAAAGCAGATAAAAAGGGAGCAGATGGAAAATCGTATTAAAGACTATTTAAGTATGCTGGATCGAGGACGCCGTATTTTTTTTTTCTAAGGTTTTATTCATAATCTTAGGATATAGTTTTTTTTTCTTCATGAGGCAGAGCTTTTTGCCAAGAGCTGGGTAGTTATGAGAGAATTACAAGTTATGCAATTTTTTTTATTTTATTAATTTGGTTCTTCTCTTTCGAAGTTTCTAGTTTGTACAAAAGTCACGAAAATAATAATGATAAAAAATAGCACTCAGCGACCTATGGTTTTATTAAAGGAGATCAACACTGATTTTTCTTTATAATAATTTGCAGAGCAGATGCGTGGTTCCCCTTTACTATTGTCGATCAGATTTTAAAATACGGAGGCGGGTAATAATTCAAAACACTCGATCATTACATTGTGAATCTGCGAAGGTTCCAGTGCCAGTTTCAGCTTTTCCCTCCAATTAGCAATCTTGTTGCTCTGTAGAGGCCTTGTTGAATTGTCATTCAATCAATTTCTCCGAGCCTGCTTACGTGCTCCCATTAAACTATGTGGAAATTACAATCACGTGCAAATATTCAGTCCTTGCTCGCGTGTACTGGATATAAGCCAAAATTATGTCACGTTTATCCAAATAATGAGAAAATCGAGAAAAAAAATCACGAGCTAGTACGTGCTAAAATCACGTTTCACTGAAAAATAGATGGAGCATCAGTGGGGTTCAAGTGGAAGTACATTTATGAGGGATTCTTACCGGATAGTTGGTGTGTTAAAGTTTTGGATACTATTTCACAAAACATAATCTCTTTCAACTCTTTTCAGTCAAGACGTCAGCAAAATCTCTCCAGCTCAAGGGGTATTCTCTTTTTTCCCATGCTATATGAAAAGAGATAATTTCGCTTTGACAGGAAAGTCTTTCAGATATCTTTCCTTCCGATCGATGTGCAACAATTTGCTCTTGTAGCTCGAATATGTTCGTAAGATCTGCATTGTCTCGGATAAGATGCTAATTTTTCACGATAACTTTTAAGATTATAAAGCGGTTTGCCCGAATGAGAAGTTCACTTCAGACAGAAACTTGTCAAAGTACACCTGAGATATATTCGATTGAACAGCTAGAATTGAGATTTCACTTGCACTGAGTTTATTCTCAAAAGGCGTAATGCGTTTTCTTTAACAAAGCCGTTCTTAACACTGAGGGGTCGGCATAATGATAGATGTGCGAACTGAAAAGTTTCACTCCGTCAATGCGTCTTAAAATTAATTGTTTTGCTCTTGGTGAAACGGGATGACAATTGGAGTGTCAATATCGATCGCGAATGCTTGTGAGGAAGTTCTAACCGCAAAATAAACACTACTTTAGATCTCGCTTTTACCTAGAATCCAAAAGGGGAAATTCCAAGATGAACTTTTTCTCAACGATAGGTTTAATCGGGAAAGATATAAGAAATTGCTCTCCGATGGCGAAAACGACTGTTATTTCAATGCCCAATGTGATACTACCTGAAAAAAAATCTACGTGAAATACAATATACATGCATCATCTGGAAAAGTTTTTTGACAAAGAGACGTTTTATGTGTGGTGAAGAGGCCCTCAAGGCATGAAAGGACTGAATTATACTCGAAAGGCACCTGTGTTGCTATTATTAACGACTGCCCATTGTTGAACGCAGTGTAATGAAGAAAGTTGTACCCACGTTGTGTCTGATAGAAATTACAGTCTCGTTCACTTTTCCTGTGACAGCGAGATGAATTCTAGTATCGGCGGTAGAGGGCGTTAAACTCAGGCAAACTGATGAAGAAATTTTTGTGGAATAAACGTTTAAACGATGGAAACTAAATCTGGCACCTGAACGAGAGAAATGAATCCCCATAGAGAAAATAGAAGTAAAATGAATATTTTTCATCTCCTTGCCATTGATGGGTCGTGGATGCCTCATTTTATTAATAATTCGCATTTTTTGTCTTTTTGCTACATCTTTGTTCAGCCCACAGAACTTCCATCAACATTCTGTCTTTTTTTTTTAATAATTTCCTTTCTTCCTATCGCTTTTATGCAAATATGTTTCATTCATTCTTGATTTCAATTATTCGGATCTATCGTGCAAACCATTCAAATGTCGTCGTCAATCTTTTCACGACATTGTCAATTTGCCCATTTTTTCCAGATCTCGTATAACGTTTGCAAATGACTTTATTTGCTTTTCTTTATTTTATGTTTTCTTGTTCAGTCAATTTATTTATCTATGATCGTAATAATTTTCAATTTATATTATCTGTTTATGGCAACCGCTTCAATTCGACTGACCGAATTCCTTTCAATTCGCTTTATTTCGCTCCGCTTCGAGTCGTTTTCTTGGAAGATAATTAACGAGCGCGTTGGACATGTAACGAGTGCTTTGGCTGCTTATTAAATTTTTATGAGAGGCTCCCTAAATCCACCCTTTAGTAGCATCCGCACTTCAGTAGTATTAAATTGTGATTATCCTGATAAAGAGAATCAAAGAAATATATACATAGCTTAGCCAAGTTTGAAGGATAGGAAACTCGACAATGTACGTTGTCAGAATTGATGATCTTAGGAACCACTAGATGCACAAAACTTTATAATTGCAGCCTCCCCTGACCCTCAATCATTAGAAGAATCGGTCCCTATGGAGATCGAGGACACGAAACTAACCGACTTCTAATCATGATAAATCAGCCTCATGTTCTTTCTAATGAAGATTATACCACTGCTTAGGAACGGCTGCGTGAAAGAATTAAACGATCGCTGATCGTAGCTAATGCAGTGGAATTTACGGTCGACTCTCAAAGACAAATTTACTCCTTTTGAGCGAATCTTGAATATTCTAGTTCTGATTATTTTTAGTTAGATCTGAAATTGGTAACTAGAAATCCTGCTGACGTTTCCATGCACCGGCAAATCGCTTGGCCGAAGTTCCCTATGGTTGAGTTAAACTTGCTTGTATTACATATATATAAATAACGAGGTCATTTATTGATAGCAATTTATGATCCTGAAAACTATGAGTTTCTTGTCATATTCTGTTGCATTGGGATGTATAACAGAACTACCATTGGTCTTCACATGTTGAAATGAAAATCCTTTTTTTCTGTCGAAAAAGTATCTTAAGGCGTAAACATGTCATCTTTTCCTTCTCTGCGGGTAGTTTGGGAATTCTACTCGAGAATACTTAAAGGTTCATGATCGTTTGTTTTAATAGCACCTCTTAGTTTCGTTGAAGTTACCGTTTGGTCTGACTAAAGTCTAGAGAGGGTGGGTTCTATTTATATGAAAGGTTTTTGTCTTGAACTTATAATTCCAATTAACAAGACATTAATACAAATATGTGTGGGCAAACTAGATACATTTATCAGTACTAACATTAAAAATAAACAATTCCTCTTGTCCCACGACATAACAATATCGACTTCCCATTGAATTAAAACAAAAGACGATATAAGGAAGCGGTTATTTTAATAATTGCGGGTTTTCCTTTTTTTTCCTCATGTCGGTCTTTTATTTTGCTGAGAGCAAAATATTTGTAGCTTAAAACATGTAATCAGAAGTTATGCTCATTGGTTTGTTTAATTTTGTTCCTCAAAGTTGAAGTTTGATTATTGGTCGTAAAAATACCCACAAAAGACACTTAAGAATAATTAAAAATATATATTCTGCTTAGAGTATTACAGTTGCATTAGAAGAGATTTCTGTAACAATAGGCCTCTATCTATACCACTGATTAAAAAATTAGCATCATTAAACTTTCATGCCGCTTGTCGCCGTGTTCCTGACGTCCCCCTTGTGCTGTGCTGTTGGAAACATGAAATAGACGCAGTCTGCCACTTTGAGAATACGATGTAATAAAGCCTCTTAAATTAAGTGTTAAGTAGCGATCTCTGTAAGAGCGGTTCAGGGCATTTCGCATCGGAACAAAGTTTTCCTTCAAACTTTACCCAATAAACTATCTTTGGTAGCAAGTAAATAAAACCACATTAGTTTCTGGATACGTTAAAATAAAATTTTTAGAGTTCTCAATAGTTAGAGCTGCAAAAGGCCCTTTTTTGACCTCTTGCGACATCGAAAATTTCAAAAGTTGAAAAGCCCGATCATCGTATCACACCTCATGCAGCAAAAATTATTTTGTATTCTTAAACTGTGTAATACGTAAGGTGTATAAAAAGCATAACAATTTTGATATTCGTTTAATCAGAGGTTGGTGACAATCTATTTAAAAACACTCGTTAGGAAGCTTTCTGAAATTGGTCAAAAGTACACTTTCTTTCTTGGTTGACATTGCTCAAGTCCAGAGCAGACCATTGAAACATCCGCTGGATTTCTTCTGATAAGATGTTTGGCGGCAGAAAAAAAAAAAAAAAATCTCGTACTTATTAATTTTCTTCGCCGTGATGATTTCAAATCTTTAGTGGTTTTCGAACACCCTGAATTATGTCAAAATAAACTCAGTACGTTGGTTACAAAAAGCAAACCCTCTCAAAACCGTTTTATATAAGTAGCCCTCAAAATTCTTCTCCTTTTTATGATGAAATGAAAAAAAACTACAATCATTTTCGTAAAATAGTAAACCTGAAATGATTTAGATTTTGCCAA